TAAAAGACAAATGGGCAAACGATCTGAATAGACATTCCTCCAAAGAAAATAGACAAATGCCAATAAAGCACATGAAAAGGTGCTTAACATCATCAGTCATCAGGGAAATGCAAATCACCACAATGAGATACCATTTCATACCCACTAGGATGCCTATAATCAAAAAGACTTAACAACTGTTAGTAAGGATGTGGGGAAATCAGAACCCTCACATATTGCTGGTCAGGATGTAGAATGGTGCAACCACTTTGAAAAACAGTTTGGAAATTCCACAAAACATTACAACAGGACCTAGCATTTCATTCCTAGACCTATAACCAAGAGAAAGGAAAACATATGCCCACATCAACACTTGTACACCAATGTTAACAGCATTATTCATAACAGCCAAAAAAATGGGAACAATCCAATGTCCATCAGATGAATGGATAAATGAAATGTGGAAATTACCTACAGTGGAATCTTATTTTTTAAAAATTTAAGCAACTTAAAAAATTTAAATACTGATCCATGTTACAACACAAAGGAACTTTGAAAATGTTGTTAAGTGAAAGAAGCCCATCACAGAGGACCACATATTGTATGATTGCACTTACGTGAAGTGTCCAGAATAATCTATAGAAGGAAGGTGGATTAGTGGTTGCCTAGGACATTGCAGTAAAGAAGGAGTGGAGGGAAAAGTGAAGTGACTGTTAATGGGCACAGAGGTTTTTGCAGGGTGAAGAAAATATTCTAAAATTGATTGTGATGAAACTTGTAGAACTCTGAATATACAAAAAAATTGAATTTCTCACTTTAAATAGGTGAATTATAAGGTTTGTGAATTATGTCTCAACAAAGCTGTTATTCAGAAAAATGTTTTGGCCTCATTAAATTATTCTAGTCATCTGATTAATATAATTTCAAAAAGTGGACACAGAATATGTATGAAGATCCAGCCTTGTATAAATTCAATGAATTCCAGAATAACCAACTATTTTATATTATTGTTATCAGAGTCTCAGCATGAATAAAACCCTTCAAAAAAAACAAATTCAAGTGTTTTCTGGATGACATTCTAAATGTATTTTGAATGTACCTGGAATGATCTCTAGATATTTTACTAGATGCCATGCTTATTCCAAAGTGAAATAATTTCATGCCATTCAATAAGAGCATCATGAAAAAGAAATTTTATTAACATCTTTTTTCTGTTCACTATAAAGTAGCAAATACATTAAGTTCAGATTCCTCCAACTACTAAAGTATATCCTACATACTATAATAATATAGCATAGTTCCATTTAAAAGATAAATTCTAAGAAATCCAATAAATTTAAAATAATCAATAACCCTGGTCAAGGTCATGGTATGTTCATTGTAAAAACAGATATACACATACATATGCTTAGCTATTTATCTATATCATATTCCAAAAGACCTATTTTTATAAAGATACATTTTTATGAAGCTATTTTCCTACTAAGCTGAATGTTATTTATACAGTGTCATATGAATTTTATAACTGAAAGGAATGTAAAATTTTTGATTCCAGCCACTCCTTTCACACATTAAAAAAAAAAAAAAAAACTTGAGACCTAAACTGATTAAGTTTTTGTCCAAAATTATGATTGGGAAGTCGTGGTTTGAAACCAAGCTGCCTAATTTCCAAGAAAATGATGTTCTCACCATACCAAAAGAGCGAGAAAGAAAGAAAGGAAAGGAATTACTTGAAAGTCTGTCAGCATGTAAATGGATACAAGTTTATATACCTCTTGGATGTTTCTCTACTTAAATATATATTATTTGTTCTTTTTCATCACTGATAGTGAGCTCCCAGAAGGCTGCATTCATGCATGTCTACTTAACTGTTCACTTACTTACTTAACTTACTTAACTTACTCTCAACTTGTCTCAGCACATATTTTAAAGAATGATTATCAAGGGTATTAAAACAGAGTGGTAATAACTTAATAACATTATTTAATTTCCAGTGGAAGGCTTCAGAAAACCTCCATGTAGTGAGTCAATAAATTCCCCATGAGGAAACCCAGCGCGATTGCACTTTGAAAGGATTCTTTACAAAGCTGTCTAATTAGAGAGAGCTTCAGCATAGCATCCACCAACTCTACCATGACTCCTGAAAGAAGCTCATGAAATGATTATTTTTAATGGCTTTACACCAGGTTTGCTTAGAGATCCTTCCCCTTGCACCTCCTCTTTCCCATCCAAATAATCCCAAAATTGCCCTACTCCAAAAATTATTCTTTTCTTCTCATCAAACTACCTCCAAATCTTCTGTTTATCTAATTCATACTAAGCTGTGAGCTGCTGATAGGTTTAAATCTGGGGAGTGATGTCTCCAGAGGAATTCACATTTTAAAGGTGAGGTTTCTTTTGCTCAGAATTTCACTAATTCATGTGAGGAGTGAGTGTGATCCTTTGCTGCATCAGCAACACTGGGCTTCAGTCTCTTCTGGGTGCCACGAAAGTCTCCTGACCCCCTACATTCCAGAAATCAGGGGTCAGCAAGTGGGTGCCCTGCTTAAGAAAAGCTGTTGACCTCTGGAAAGGAGCTTGTATAGAAGCAAGTGTTAATTTTCAAAATGTGACTGGCTGTGATAGCAACAACCTCACCTCATCACAATGTCCCTTGGAATGTTTTCCAGTCAAGGGGTCTAAAAGTGATCTGTCATCACCGGTCAGTGGTATAAAAGCAGCTCATTCTTGTATCCTTGCCCTTCTCCCCTGGACCAGAAACAAAACATACCACACCAAGGCCTCCTCTTCTTACATTTGAATTTTCATGTGTTCAACATTTGTCAGGGCTTCACCTTCAATGACATGGTCAGGGCCCCAAGAAATTATATTTAACACATGAAAAACGAATGCCAGTCCCATTTCTCCATGCCTTGTAATCGAAAGCCACAAAATCTGTGTTTGGGGTGTTCCTATGTGTGCTTATTCTTAGAACAACATTTATAGACACTTTAAATGATTACCCTCCAAAGTCATAAAAGGGTTTAGTAACACACTTTAATATATAATTTCTTAAGCGCTTTTTAATAAAATACACATATATAATTATAATTATCAATGCATGTATGTCATTTAACATAACGATAAAAGGCTAGTCTTTGAAGTGACATAGTGATTAATATTTACAGTAAAACCTAAAGGAAACAGCAATTTGTACAATATTGCTAAATCAAAAAAATTAATAAGTTCTACTCATATCTTTGTAACATTTCAAATCACCAACAGCAAAAAGGAAAATGCTCTATTAATACATATGAGTACAGATCATTACTTTCCATGTTTTCTCAAGATAGACAACTCTTTTGTTCTAGAATTGTAGAAAGCACTGAGGCTGGGATGGACTTTTCCCATGGCTCATGGCTCATGAGGACTTTTCCCAAATTTGTGTCAAGCTATTAATACCATACAAAATCATCTTCTATGGATCGACCTACTGGAAGTATTTTATGTCCCTTTATACTAATCTTCAATGTAAAACTCAATACTGATTTGATGAGCTGTTAAAAAATCCACGAGGATATTTATCAATATCCATAAACAAAAGTCACATCCTGCGCCAATACTTTTCAAACAGTTATCTGCCTAAATATCTAACAGCCGTGCTGTTTTAAAGGAAAGAAGCAAATGAGAGCTACACCATTTCCCCGCCTAAATTAGAGATGAGTTAAAGCAACTCTGTTTAGCACTGAAAGGAAATCTCACTTAGCTTGGAAAGGAAGTCTGCTTTAGCTTGACAGATATATGAAAGGTAATGAGTCAACGAACAGACATACTATTTTTTTAATTTCTCGACAGACATATGGTAATGCTCCTTATCACGCACTCTTAGCCTTTCCTAGTCATCTCCTAATGTGCTATCAAAGGTACTTGTTTTGAAATCTTAAACCATGTATACATTATTTTAGGGATTTTTCCAAAAATTAATCTACCTTTCATTTTTCTGGTTTTGAGGCTGAAATGCTATTGAGGTTAAAAGTTTTATAGATCCTTTATCATAATTAGTATCTTCCTCCTTCGTCCTCTAAGAGGGTCTTTATGGTAATGGGCTTTGGCCTTTGCACTACAACCCCCAAAAGACAGATTGCTGCAGATAACCCCCTGAAATTCCTTACAGTGTTATTTAATACCATAAAGGCCTAGAATCTACTTGTTTCAGGAAAGACTCAGACAGAGAAACAAGGTTAAGGAGGAGGGGAGATTTCAACTTGTAGGAGTGGGGAGACATAAATAAGTAGCATAAATGCCTTTTTCCTTACAGACCGCAGGCCAGGAATCTCAAGACAAAATGTAAAAAATATCCTCGATGAAAAACCACATTATAACAATGTAAGGGAAAGCTGACAATATCATTCCTCTTGATTTAAAAAGATAGACATTTCTCATTGGAATCAAAGAATTTGAGGTGGATTTATTTTCTTTTTGGCATTCCACTCATATTATATATTCCCTCCCCGGTGAAAACCGGAATTTAAAAATGTTTACAGAACTCTCTTTAACGGTCTACTTTAACTAAATAAAATGAGCAAAACATCCAAAATACTGGACATTTATTCTCTGCAGATGAATAAATACCTCTTACATATCCAGCGGAAAGTGGAAAGAAGGTACAAGGCTCTCTTCCACCTTACCTAAGTAAATAATAATAGGTCAAGAATTTTTACAGAACCAAGATCATCTAATACCTGGACAGACAAGAGCAAGCAGGAACACAAAAGCTAATCCTTCATGACTACAGATAGCTCAGAACTAATACTTAGACTTCAGCTGGCTTTGGCATTTTAGGCTCTCACACTGTGCCCAAGAGTAACAGAAATCACTCTGGGTGCTGGTTTTACTGTTAGTTATCAACACTCAAGTATGAAACTGTGTAGAGCATTTTTCTGATAAATTAAGTTATAAGTCTTGGTCTGGTTAGTATCACTGCCAAGTTTTAAGTTTGGTGTTTGGTTTTTAAAAAAGAGTCTGAGAATTTGGGTTAAGCGTACTACTTATGCCAATACTCTGTGCAACTAAATGAAATAGGGGGGACAAAAGAGGGAGGATGTGGTTTTGCAGGCTGCAAAACTCCATGTGCTATGTACGGTCTACATATATACCATAGATAATTACAGTCTCACCATGAGGAAGTCAAAACACTCAGGGAGCCTTCATTTCCTACTATATGTAAATCTTACAAGCTACGGATAAGTTTCTTTTCATATTGCTTTCAGAAAAAAAGAAAAAGGAAATACATTAGACCAATCTGAGTATGCTTTAACTTCCAGGATTCATCACACCATATGTGCAGACACTTGAGATGATGACAGAGTTAAGCTTCCTAGGGTCCTAGAGTCAAAGAAACTCTGCTGACCCCCACTGCTAAGCAGGTGCACTCCTTCCACAGGGGGCAACATTTGCCGATCGGTCATGGTCCCACTCGGTGAGGACCCCAAGAAACTTCCTTGGGAAGAAACAATTTTCTCAGGACTGGCAGCCAGTTTGGGGGATGTGGAGAAATTATATCCATACAAGGCACAGGGGCTGTGTAACCTGAACGTGTTATACGAACCCTGATGGGTCTGGTTAGCAGCAAAGGCGTTGCTGGAGGGTGAAGGCATGATGTACTGAAGCTGGGGGGACATCCCCGAAATCTGCATGGAAAGGCTGGTCTGTGGGCAGGTGAAAGTGTCCCCATCTGTGCCACCCATGGACATGTTCACCGAGGCGCTGCTGCTCACGCCCACGTAGGAGGGAGTCCTGGGCGCGGCAAAGGTCTCTCCGCTCTGGTTGGTGAGCCTGTTGTAGGTCTCGGCCAAGGATGTGCTGTATCGGTTGAGGGTGAGGCCAGAGCGGGCACAGGCAGAGTAGTCAGCCGGGGCCAGGCTACACAGCTGACTGGTGTTGGGCCCCAGATGGAAGGCAGGGGAGGAGCAAGGGGAGCCAGACAAAAGATGAGGGTGGGTGGCAGGAACGCCATTCCCAGAGCCTTGGAGCAACGTGGAGGAACTTGTATTTCCTACAAAAGAAGTTGAAATGTAAAGAGCAGCGACTCCACAGCCATGTTTTCCTTTCAGTTTGGTGAACATGAGCTAGACCCAGCTTGTCACAAGGAAGCCTACATTGAACGATAAAGAGGAGAGGGTCTTGGCTCTCAAGGAATTACAATTTAACTGAATTCAGACTGAAATATTTTAGACACAAATCCTCTCAATATTTCCAAGGCATATGATCTTGACCAAGGCAATCACTGTTTTTTTTTTCCTTAATTGCAGAAGGTATCAGGACACTGCCTCATAGATTTTTCACATTTTCTCCCTCCATTAGTTTTCCTCGAGTTCTCTGATTTTCTATAATAAATATTACAAACACTGACTTCCCTGGCATCTTTATAACTTACATCTTACTCTGTATCTTGTTCCAAAAGTATAGCCATCACCTCTCTTCTTTCCGTATTTCACTCCTTCAGCAGACCTTGCTCTGGATCAATATGTTTTCTTGCGTGAAAATGGAAAGAATTCCAAAGGAAGAGCCAAACTGGTCAAAGACACACGCTGCCTCAAACTTATCTTCAGCTGCCCACTGAAAGCTTATGTGCCTCAATGGCTAGACCACACGGGGCTATTACAAGAAGGCAATAATAGTCTAGAACTTCAAAACTCTCATTTCCAACCAGAAACAGGTTGGTGAATCACAAACTTGTGCAAGAGCAGAGGCCTGCCAGATAAACAGTCTTGTGACATGGAGAGGGTGGTTGACCCTGTGTCCAAACAATAATGATGGTCGTGGCTATCTCCCACTCTCTGGATTCGCTGGCAGATTGATGTCTGCAAACTTGACAGAACTTAGGGGGAGAGGAGAATTCCAACAGACTGGACAGGTTGTAAAGCCTTCATTGCTCCAGCAACTATGTTTTATACAGCTTCTCAAAATAATCAGAAAGCCCAATCCAGTCAATGATAATTATCTAAAGCCCAGCATGTTAATTGTCACTGGGGTGCTGGGCAGGATCAGGCGTAAAAAGCCCGAGTGCAGGAATGGGCTGAGGGTCTTACCTACCAAGCAGAGGAGGAAGTGTCATCCTTTTTGCATGCAGCTCCCTCTGAGGAACCACTAGCCTGAGCTTGGAGGAATCACTCAGAGGTGAGCCCAGGAAAGTCTGCCTGAGCATGCCTGACCTCCTCAGCATAAATCCAACAGGCAAACCCTGCCTAGAGGCCGTTCTGCTGAAGGAAGCAAAGACAGAAGCTGGCAAGAAAGGGTGAACTGGGACCAGCACGGGCGATTCCCTGTGAGGTGGGCTTGGCACAAGAGCCCACAGTCTGGCTCTAATTCTAACAAGAGATTTAAGGGTGAGGTAAAAGTCCTGAAATACATTGACAGTCTGAAACATTCAAGACTTAACCTATGACCACAAGAGCCATTTTTCTGGTCCCCATCCCCATTCCTCACAGAAAAGAGATGGATCCCGTAACAAAAGGATGTTGGTGATGACGTCGCCATTGTGGAAGCCAATGACGTCAAGCGTATTTTTCAGCACCTGAGCTTCCAGTCAAGAAACGCCTGCATCTATGACCACAGAGACTTTGTGTTTTACCTTGCTTGGGAATTCCAGGGATATCTTCAAAGGTGAGAGTCCGTAGTGAAGGTCTCCAGAATGCATATGACTCCACAAGGGCTTCCAAACCCATTCTAAATGGAAGGATTGGGATGGAGGTGGACAAAAGAAGCCTCATTAGGAGCAGTTGGAGCTTTCGGCAGTAATAAGCAGCTCAGAACACCTCATTGGTGTTGACAGTGTCCCCCCACATTGGTAGGGCAAGAGCTTGGCACAGGCAGAAAGAAAAGCTTCAGAGATGGGCTACCATTCTGTCACCAGGAGCACAGGATGATGGAAACCACCCAAGATATGCTGTTAACATTCTCAGAAAACTAAGCCAACCTCGGAGAAGAAGAAGCTGTCGCTCTGTGCTAAGGAGTTCAGGTGAGGCCCATCCTAGCTGATGGGAGTCCAAGGCTCTGGTGTGATCTGGAATCCACCCTCTCCCCCATAACATTACTTCTCTCTCTGATGCGGAAGGCTTCTCCACAAAAAGACTGACCCTGTAAAGCCGCTTTTTCTTAAGAGACATTTCTGTCCATCATTTGGTCCCTTGGTAGCCAGCTTTAGAAGAGCTCTCATCCAAAGAAAAGCAGCTTCTCTCTGGGGAGGGGCACAATCTCCATCATACCCAGTGCTGCCAGGATAGTCTCTCCCTTCAGCAACAGGGAGTCCAGGCAGGTCGGGGGGCAGCACTGACCTCTCAGCCCAACATGCAGGAGGAGTATAGAAAGGTGATCTCACATGCCGGCATACCATACCATGTATGGCTCTGGTATTAGCATCAAACATTCTTCTCCTGTCCCTACATACACTTAGTGAATGGATACTTAAAGAGACAGGATAAGTTGGTTGTAAATTATTTATATGATATATACAGATATATCTATATATCTATCTATATCTATTTATCTATCTATATATGTTTGAAAACAAGGGTAACTACTCTGCATATATAAATGTATGTGTCTCCTCCTATAAGTGATCCAGAGTGCCTCTTTCCTTATATCACTATATAATATTTATATATAAAAAAAACTAAGTCTTCTAGGTTCTGGAAATGAGGCATTTCACTCAACTAGCCCCATTCTTAAGACCTTGTTAGTCTTCCCTCAACTACCAAAGCCCTAAGCAATTTGTTAATCTTAACATTGTGATTTTCACAAAACATAGAGCTCTGTTGTAGAAAATATCTGCATTCTGAGTATCAAACAATATTCAGACTTCTCTTGTGATTGTTAGAAACAGTTTTATTCAACACAGATAATCTGTTTTTAAGGCAAATGTTCAAGAGCGGGTCCTTAGGGGTGCCTGGGTGGCTCAGTGAGTTAAGCCTCTGCCTTCGGCTAAGGTCATGATCTCAGGGTCCTGGGATCGAGCCTTGCATTGGGCTCTCTGCTTCACCCCCTCTCTCTGTGCTTGCCTCTCTGCCTACCTGTGATCTCTCTCTTTGTCAGATAAATAAATAAATAAAATCTTTAAAAAAAAGAAAAAAAAGAGCAGGTCCTTAATCACTTGCACTCAACTTGCTACCTCTTCTGGGTACCTTGCATCCCTAAGTCAAGAACTATGAGCCCAAGGCTAGAGGAACCCTCTTGCCCCAGAGTCCTACCACCTACACAGCATGGTGAAAACTCTCCAGACACTCAAAGTAAGTGATATGGCAGATAAAACCACCTTACACAACTTGGCCCACTGTTCTAAGGTTTTACATGCTGAGTGTTCAGAGTATAGACTCCATTGATGTGCTAATGTCCTTCATGACTCCATGGAGCATCACCACCCCAACTTAGTGCTAGAAGGAGACAGCAGTGTATGTGTGTGGGGGGTGGTACTGAGGGCACGCCCAAGCTCGTGTGCATACATACACTGCCCTCGTAGGAGTCTACACATGGACCTGACTCATCTCTCAAATCACAAGTTCAGGGAGTGCTGCTGTGGGAGCACTTGCAAAAGCCATCACCAGCCCCACACAGGTGCTAGTACGGGGCTGCCAAAGGGGAGAGCAGGGCACAAAGTGGATCTGCACCTGCCTTCCACCTGGGCTGCATGGAGCGTGAAGTGCAGAATCTAGCTTTGGATGTAATCAGTGATCTATGGAGAAAGGACTATTCCATGGTGAGAACACTGGATTGGGGGTCAGGAGAACTGGGGTGTGGCTCCAACTCCTTAAAATTCACTGTATGACCCTAAGTAAATGTTTTAACCTCCCTGGACTTCAGTCTCCCACAAAGTCAGGAGCAGACTACAAAAGTTCTGCATCCTTTCCTAGCTCTAAAGTTGTTTGTTCCTAAGTGATTTTTCCAAAACCAGACATCATATCTGTGGCTGACTATGAGCCAAATGCAAGCCAGATTGACTCAACAATATATTATGCACATTAAAGTATTGATTTGGGGGTCATTTGGCCGCTTGTTCAGTCCCAAAACCCCATGTTTCCTGCAGGTTATGTTTAATACTCAACTGATGAACGCTGGGCACCATCTATCTGATCGCTCTTTATTTAGTTTGTGTCAGGTTTTATAACTTTCTAGAAACAAGCTTTTCTAAATGCTACAGAATGTTTTTATTACCACATAGATGAGTTTTAATAATCTTAGATTTAAATATTAAGGATACCAAAGTGGTCATGGAGTGGTCTCGAGGGGAGCTTGCTAAGAGGTAATTAATAAGCATCCATTAGACTTAGACACTCATTAACTATAGAGACGAGTGTTACTGCATTATGTGTTTTAGCAGTGTAAACTCCATTACGCTTCAAAGACAAATCCATCCACCCAATTCCTGAGGAGACATTACTGATCACCACAAACATGTAACCTTCAGCTTTAAAGAGAAGGTTCTAAAGATGACATATCTACAAGTGATTCAACTTGGAGCTACTGACAGTTTTCTTGAGGCTGCTGTTTCACACTGCAAGTTCCAGAAAGGATTTCAGATATTTTGCAGGAAACAGTTATAAAATATTTAGTAGCTGAATCTGGACTTTTTAAAAAAGGCCTTCATTTTCTCCAGTAATAGAGACTTTTCCCATCTAGTTAAAGGAAAGATAAAAGGCACCTCCCGTAGGAGTGCAGCCAAGGTGATAATTTATACAAGATGCCTTTGAACAATTTCCACATTTTATCACCACCCTAATTTATGCTATCAAATGGCCAAGTTTATTTAGTAAAATGGTTATGTTTTTCCTGAAGTATTTAAAGCAAAGAAATTTCTGTACCTTCCTGAGTAAAAAATTTTATAGGGTCAAATCTAAGGCCTAACTGAAGAATGAAACTATTCTCAGCACATAAATTCTCTTTCACGTAGCAAATGTCTTGCAGGAGAGCTTTTAAGGGCTGAAGCTACTGATTCCTATAAAACAGGCTGTAGAACCATAAATAACCAGGAAGGGATAATTTTTAATTAAAGCAAATTGTTTTATAAAGTTAAAAAAAAATACAAGTCCCTGTTTATTTCTTGTGCAGCTTAATTTGCTTATTTCATATATGGGGAAAAATAAAAACAGTTTATATTGAAAAGTAGTAACAATAACACAACAGACCAGGGGTATTAAAGAAATAAAATGAACTTTTTCTCATGGGCTTTCTTCTCTATTTATATGAAAAAAAAAAAAAAAAATCACTCCTTTCCCAAGCCCGCAACACCAATGCACCCTCCAAGTCTTACATATAACTTAAACTTTTTTTTTTAAGGAAAATACATAAGTTAGAAATCTGTAAAGCTGACCAAATTCCCTCTTCTCTATACATGAGTTTTTGCATTTATCAATGGAAAATATGAAAATTAGCTTTCTAAATAGTATTGTATATAAATATTATATAAATATTTAGCCTTCCAAAATGAGCACTGAAGACCTATCATAAGCAGGAAAACTAACTTTAATGAGACAAAAAGTAAAATTATTCATTTCACTAATAAGAAAGCTATATAGAGGCAACATAATTTTCTTGTACTAAGATATTGTTTAAACATTTGGAGCAGGACAAAAAATTTAAAATTTAACAAAATTTAAAAAGTGTTAAAACATAATTCCTATGTTCTGTGTGTCCATTAAAACTTTTAAAAGTTTTAGGGTCAGGAAAGAATAGTAGCAAGAACCACAGACGCCACACCTTGTAAAACAAACGGAAGGAAAAAGTTCATATCAAAGCTAGCATTCTGACCTCATGATACCCAACAAGGGACTTAGTAGTTTATTTTCACCAATCCCACTGATTCTCTTCACTGACCATATTCAAATGCCTTTTCATTATGCTGACATTTCTAGAATTCTTCCTGAAAACTTCTCCTATGCATCTTATCAGCTCACTTCTGTTTGTAGGTTTATTCACTATTGGTGTCTATCCAAATACACCTTTTAAAATATTTTCAAACGTATTGCTTCAAAACTGAACCCACGGTATCCAAGCAGTGTGATTCCCCTAGTGTCAAGAGCAGTGAGGTGTCTGCTAGGTCAATCCTACAGGAGAGCCTGGACACGGTTCCTGGCTGTGTATTCCTCAAACCTCAGAGCTGCCTTCATGGAGTTTCAGTGATTTTTATAAATGTATTCGCTGCTTAAAAAAAATAATGAAATGAAAGAAATGCTAGACCCTTAACAAATACTATACTGCTACCACCAAAACCACAAGAAGATTCCATCAAAGCATTTCTCAAGGTAGAAAAGAAGTCACCCCAAAGGCTCCCATTAGTCCCTCAGGAGTGACCTTCTCAGTTACTAAATTATTCAGCTTTTAGAAATGCCTCTGGACAGCAAAGTTAACCAAGAGCCAATGGAACATAACAAAAGCCACGCAGAGTTGTTCTCACATTAAAAACATCTAAAAAGACAATGATTTCAATATATCAGACAACAGGTATTATAGGAATACTGCAAATCTTCCTACAGAATAAAGAATTCCAGAGGGAATTACTAGTGCTATCGTTAATCGTTTTGTTGATGTACCTGCACCAAATTAAAGGCTACTCTACTCTCAATGCATTTCAGCTGGATTCGAGTCCTCATGCTTTGTGGTGTTTAAACAATGTCCCTGCATACAAGAATATTCTGCAAGCACTTGGCGGTGTTCTGAGAAAAGATCTCTGTCTGCACCAGCTTTGCCCAAATAATCGGCTAGAAGACTAAAAATCTAGACTACCAGCTGACTGTTCTCTCTCTACAATTTTAAATCAAACTGTCCCTAAAACAAAACAACTGGGGCTTTCAACTTCCTATAGAGGTAGCCTATACCAAGTTTTCGAGAACACCAAATTTTCAAGAAGTCTTAGAATAATTTCTGGAGGACAGTAATAAAAACTTCTCAAATATTTCTTTTTAAAAGCTTTAAAAACATTTAAGTCAAAGTCTTACCCTGAAAAGGCATCTGGAGCACGTTAGTCTGTTATTACTCTCTATTACTATCAATACTTATCTTAGAAAATATTGCACCAAACTCTATTGGAATAGAATCACATCCATAAATTAAAAGCCCATGGCACACAGACAACGGCGATCTGCTTTTTGATAAAAGTAACAGAGTGGAATTCATTATGGTTGTTCTCCCTCCTTATACAAACACCATAAAACACGACACAGGGAAAATAAACAAGTGTGTGGCTGTCAGCGCAGCCAAGACAAATTTGGAAACTAAAGAACATCAGCTCCCTTGGTAATGGGGCGTTAGTTTCATATTCTAGTTGGAAATCTGAGGGAACGGAACCCCATCATATTCCGAAGACAGAATCAATAGATTGTTGTGACGTCACTAAGTAAATTAGAGAACAACAGCAGGTGTAGTGAGGCTACTGACTTGGAATATCGAAGCCCCGGGGCCCGAGAGACAGGTTTCCTTAAGGTCCCTTCAGAGGTAGCATGCACTGTGCACCCAGAGGACTTGCATTTTTCACCCAGCATCCCACATCAAAATTCACCTTAGGAATGGGCAGGCCATGGCACTAAGCTAAAAAATAAAGTACATCCAAGGCCCAGCGGTACCGACAAATTTTAATCCTCATCAGAAAATTATTTCAAAACCACGTCAGTGGTTAACTGTTTACCTTGTAATGGAAAATTCACAACAAAAAGTCGAATGTATTTATCAGAACCAGAATGTTCTTCACTAAGTCTTACCTGTTACGCCCAGAGTCTCGAAAGCCTTTGGCAAATGGATTCCTATCTATCTTCAGCCGAGTAATCTGGAGAGTACAAAAAAATCTTATCAAATACTATAAATGTCAAGTAAGGCCATTAAAACAGAAATGGTGGAAGAACTACAAGTAATTACAAAATTACAAAATTATAAAAGCGTTCCTCTCCCCTATTTCTCAGGTATTTTATTATCTTAGCTGCAAAGCTAGAAGAAAATTTCAGAAATCACCTAGACATTCATCTGCTATGAAAAAAAATTCCCCACCCCTGTTTAAACTCTATAATTAAATCAGTTTTTCATTTAATATCACTAGAGAAGGAAATTCTGAATCATCTGTTGATAACCTGTCCTTTGTTTGACAATCCCTCTGAACTAAAAGCTCTTCCCTTTAACGCTGTCACATGGTTTAATGCCTGTTCCTCTTGGTAATGGGTAACAGCTAATAACCAACTTCTACCTTGTCAAGTTCCTTGTAACACCAGAATGCCATTAAGCCCCTATGCATCCCTCTCTTCTTCAGATTTAGGTAATACACACTTCTTTAACTTTTCTGCCTCTGTATTTTTCTTTGTCTCTCTTTGGATCATCTTTATGGCTCTCATCTGAAAATTTTATTCTTTCCTCTGTTTTCTGTTGAGTTCTGACCTGGTCAGAGCCCTACAGTGAATGTCTAACCAGAGCTAACAACTACTGGAAGGCGCTAATGAGATTAAAATTTATTCATGTAGTAGAAATAAATGTTTTAATTTAAACAGAAATCTGGGGGTGGGATTTTACAAGTGGTCTAATAATCTCCATTAAAAGATATTTTTAGTTATACCATCTTGTAATTGACACTAATAACACCTCATCTATTTCATTTTTTTTTTATGATTTTATTTATTTATTTGACAGACAGACATCACAAGTAGGCAGAGAGTCAGGCAGAAAGAGAGGAGGAAGCAGGCTCCTGGCTGAGCAGGGAGCCCGATGCGAGGCTCGATCCCAGGACCTGGGATCATGACCTGAGCCGAAGGCAGAGGCTTAACCCACTGAGCCACCCAGGCGCCCCAACATCTCATCTATTTCTTGACAGATCTCCACCTTGCCCCACGGAAGTTACAGCCTGTTCTCTAAGAAGCACATCATGCTTTGTTTTCTATGCTCTTTGGTTTAGTGGAATCTACAAAGTTAATGAACATACTTCTGACAGTGCCATTTTGGCTTAGTACAAATGAACACTATTGGATAACACTAAGGAAAAGAAAGGGTATCTCTGAAAACTCATTCATAATCCCCCTCTACTATCCCAAAGGAATTCTTGTGAGTTCATTATAGCTTCATTCTTTGTTCATTTAAACAATATTTAAATAACATTACATACTTTAAGTGTTCGTTTAAAATAGGATTTCAAAAAAGAGTAGAGATTTATACAATGGTGCCTTGTCTAAATAGAGATGTGTTACTATTGCCATTATTTTTATTACTGAGTGCATACTATGTATGCTGTACTAAGAATTTTATATGCATATTTCATTTTATTCTCATGTAGTTATTATCCCAATCTTATGTTTTCTTTTAAACCAAGGCTTAAGTTTCCTGTGATCATAATGTTACTTGTCCATACACCTAGGCTGGGACCCTGGGCTTCAGAATCCCCATGCTGTTAAACACCACCAAGCTAAGCTGCTTATCAATTTTCCCTGAGTTCTTAAAATAGGAGCCAGGAAGTTAAAAAATGAACATCACTGCATTTGGTCATTATCAATTTCCCTTCTTCTAATTTTTTTACCCTATTAATCGATTTGTCAGTTTGTCCATTGGTATTAGTCACCAAAATGTACCAACAAGCCCACTGCATCTCATTTATTATATCACAGAGGCTAGGAGAAAAATACACATTTGACATTGTTAATCTGTTTGTGTTTGAGAGACAAAAAAAGAGACAGATAAACTGAGGTTGCTTAAAAGGTACTGAATGTCTCTGCTCTTTTCTCCTCATGTGTTATGTTTTTCCTCAAAGAAAAAAAATCATTTTTGCATCTAACATATTTTAAGAATATTTTCCTAATTATCCAATCCTTCTAAAGGTTAACTTCATGCTCCTTCCTCAAAGTCTATGTAAAAGCATAACAATGTGAGTGAGAGGACAGGACGGCTTCAGCTGTGGGGCTGGCAGCTCCACATGGATGAGGGCAGATGCGCCTCCCAGCCCCCAAGGAAGACGCAGGGGACTGGATCCAAATCTCCTCATAAGCTTTAAAACAACAAAAACCACAGCCGAGAGATTATAAAGCCTTAAATTTTAACTGAGATGTAAATAAATGTAAAGAGAAGTGGAGAACCAAAAATACTTCTCCTGACCACTAAAATTAAAAAAAAAGGAAAAAAAAAGTCTACCACAGACCACATCAGTCTCAACTACATCAGTATTTTTTATGAAAACTGGCCATAATTGCATGGACTAAATTGCCTTGAATCAATTTTCCACCTATTTGACTCAGCCTTAAAGAAATACATACACTTACATATATTAGAAAGAAATATTTCACTTTTGAAATTATTATTAATTTTATGAAAAGATTACTCCAACACTGCTGATCTCTCAGGCTATAAACGTATGTGTCATCCTCCCACAATTAGAGCATATCTTGAAGAAATAGCCATTTTTGTGTATATACCAAAATGACTATGTAAGATAAATGCTTCTGAAATATTTCTTATAATACATGGGTTATAGTTTTAAGACAATGTGAATTATCAAATCTTATGCTCTATGATACAATCCAGGTTTCATATTCTACATATCTATTTCCTAGCAATATACATTTTTTTTGTTTTTTGTTTGTTTTTGTAATGAAAGAGAGAGAGAGAGAGTGAGTGGGGGGAGGGGCAGAGGAAGAGGGAGAGAGAGAATCTTAAGCAAGCTCCATGCCCAGTGCAAAGTCTGACTCGGGACTCAATCTCAGACCCTGAGATCACGACCTGAGCCAAAATCAAGAGTCAGATACTCAACCAACAAAGCCACCCAGGAGCCCCCACATGATTTTTAATCTTAATTATGACATCATGATTCGACATCCCAAAATGGAAAGCAAACCTATACTATTCATCATGAGACACATTCTTTTCTAAAGAAATTCTCACTAGAAGTAGCCTTACTTGGAGAATCATGAAATAAAAAAAATTGTTTATGCACACACACACACACACACACACACACACACACACACACACACACACATCCTGGATGTCTTATATGGCAAATGCTTTACTTTATGACACTTCATAACATTTAGATACAGTGAAAAGGATAGCTAGCTTTCCACTGACACCTGAAACAAAATGTCTAGAAAGATAGCGATTCTGAGAACAATACCTGCTGATTCTGATAGGCAGTAACCGTTGTGAAGACAGTTTCTGGAAAGGAGAATGTCTTTACTCCCTCTCCAGATGGAACAGGTTTGATGGGAGAAAGATCATCCCCGCAGTCTTTACGGATGACATGGACCCGCGGTTGGTATTTGTGCATAGAATGAAGAATGATCTGTATCAAGGAAAGAAAGCCAAATATATCAACAACTTCTGCCCAATCTCAACACCATGACTAAATATTTAATGTGTAAAATAAATCCCAGTTGGAAATGAAAATTTCCAAGGATGTAAAAGTGCCAATGTAACAAAGTATGTCAAAATTGGAAAGGGAGAGCTAAGAAGTTATTTGTAAAATATGCATGAAAATACAAAAGGAAAAAAAATAATTATTTTGGTGGAACACTGTGTACAACCATGAACCCATGAACTTAACATCTAATTTTCTGTTTATGCAAATATAAGAATAAATTCATCAGCATTTTATTTACAGTGAACCACATGGAACTTAAGAGTCCAAACCAGTAAAACTAAAAATGAGATTGAAATGATTATTTAAATTCCACCATACCCATCACCTAAAAACAAGCATTTGTGCACCAAGGGTTTCTTCAGAGAACATTTTTCCTCCACTGGTGACAACAACATGTCTATTCAAGGGCAAAAAGAATTCTAAGGATACCCAAGAGTCTGCCTTGTATGTGGCTTATGACATCCCTGGTTTGCCTGTAGAACCCAGTGTCCATGTCTGCATCAGAGGGAAACTTCCCAAACCCAGGCACCTGAGCATGGAAAAACTACTGCACTCAACTCTTCTAGGGAAATCTGACTACTTTCTACCCCATGATTCCTCTTCTGAGAATTTATCCAAGAACATAATTCAAATCCAAAAAAAAAGCACTCCATGCAGAGAGACGGGCAACGCACCATCTTACAACAGTGGAGAAACTATAAACCACTTACATGAGTAGATTGGCTAAGTAACTGAAAATCCACACAATGGGAGAGATGTTATTCAGCCATTACTAAGTGCTGTTTGGGACATTTTTAACCACAAAATAAAATGCTTCTTTTTAAACTTTAAGTGATCCAAGTTGTTTATAAACAATCGCAATGACATGAAGACAGTAAAAAGGACCCACAGAAAGATACAGTGATCATCTCTAGATAATGGGATAATGGGTGAATTTTTTTCTTTTTATGTTTTCAAGGTATACGATATGGAATTAAAAAAAAAAAAAAAAAAAAAAAAAAAAAAGCCTTACCCAGTGAAACTGTCTATTTGCTGCTGGGAGTCCACACTGAGGTATTCATCAATGAGTTTAGTTAACGGAGCTGTGACTTCCCTGAGTTACACGACTTGAATTCACGTTTGGGGAGGTGGGAGTGTTGAGGAGAGATCCTTAAAGTCTAAAACACAGTGGTTGAACTACCTCGTGTTTTTCAGGATCTGGGCAGTTTCACAAAGCCAAATTCTGAATATTTGGTCAGGCCCAAAACAAATAACCCTATATGTGGAGAATGTGTTTGCAGCCACCAGAGGATGTCTTCCTCCCCATCAGGCAGGTCTGGTGGGCACTGTCATTAGATCTGCTATGCGAGCATCTCTTCCACTAATAGAAAATTTGAGGGTAAAAGAACAAAACAACAGACCACCATGCTCGATGAGGGGCAGCACAAGTATAAGGAAAGGATAAGAGAATACAATAGCCTTCCTGGTCGCCTGTGGATACACACATGACTGTGAAAGTTCTAGAAGTTTCTTTTCAGGTCTAAAAAAAGGACAGAACTTCACTAAACCATTAATGGCTCACAAAAATCAATTGAAAAGGTTGCACTGGAAATTTTTTAAATAAACAAAATGATAAAGTAGAAACATAAAGCATGTTCCTTACAGTAAGGATAAGTACTGTTTGTTTAAGATTTTTATTTATTTATTTGACAGACAGAGATCACAAGTAGGCAGAGAAGCAGGTAGAGAGAGAGTGGGAAGCAGGCTCCCTGCTGAACAGACAGCCCGATGCGGGGCTCAATCCCAGGACCCTGAGACCATGACCTGAGCTGTAGGCAGAGGCTTTAACCCACTGAGCCACCCAGGCGCCCCAGGATAAGTACTGTTTTGCAGAACAGGATCTGTTTTCTTTGTGTGTGTTTGCACCAGGTCATAACGTAACATGAACATCTGGTTACGTGAGTCAGGTAAAAAGTCTCAAAAACATAGGTGTAAGATTTATTCTGATGATTCTAGTGATCAGCAAATTCCACAGTAGAAGAGAAACTGGAGAAAGCTACTTGATGTCAAACAAAAATAAGTACATAGCTAGTTTCAGAAAACTAGAATAAATTGACTTGGATTGAGGGAAACAAAACTGACTTGGGTTTCTGTTTACTTGTCAATGAACACAGGTTCTTGCTTCATGAAGTTTTTGTTCTCTCAAGCAGATTTCTCCGTATAGCTATATATACTTAAATTTTATTTCTTTCTTTCTATCCTTACAGAATTTCCAAAATGACATAAGTTGGGGTATACTGGGGTAGAGTATAGAAATAGCTGATGTATGCCTACGTCTGCACATTAAAGGGCAACTGCGGACAGTAATCTGGGGATCTTTCCAGCAAAATAACAGGCTTTCAATATTACCTATCAGAACTTATTATACCCCCGGATGTTTTCTGGGAATGCTAAGCAAGCTTCAGTTCTCCTGTATAAAATGACATTATTTGCTTTTTAATGATCTATCAAACTTATAATGATGAGTGGTCAATAACATATCTAATAAAACAAGTAGAACTAGGAGAACTACTGGCCTTATAAATAAGGAGACCACAATGATAACGCTGAAACTCAAATAATTTTTCTGATCTGCATGCTCCATGCTCTCTGTTCCGTTTAAAAGGAGGATTTTTTTTTCTTTTTGGCATTACCTCGTAACACAGATAGTCACATAGACTAATGTTTATAAACACAAGAATGTTGTCCCATGTGCAGGTCAATACATGTTTTATCCACTATAAAGACACTAGTTTTGAGTCAAAAGAAGTATGATATTGTGTGTTTGTTTGTTTTTTTTTCAAGATTTCATTCATTTATCCGACAGAAAGAGAGATCACAAGTAGGCAGAGAGGCAGGCAGAGAGAGAGAGAGAGAAGCAGGCTCCCCAATGAGCAGAAAGCCCGATGCAGGACTCGATCCCAGGACCCCGAGACCATGACCTGAGCTGAAGGCAGAGGCCTTAACCCACTAAGCCACCCAGGCGCCCCGATATTATTTATGTTTAATGTGAAGGGCCTACAGTGCCTGAAGTTGACAGACAAACCAGCTGTGCCTTACAGAACAACTCAATAAGGAAACATCACCTCCTGACTCTGGAAATTTTCTAGATGTCCTAAATGCTGGTGTGGGAACAAGTCAAGCAAAGGGCCAAGGAGGAGCAGCTCCCTGGCTCCCTGCATTCTTGATGACACCTGGTGCTGACTCACTGTAAATGGCAGGGGTCAAGACAGTAACACTGGATCACAAGCTCCGTAGCAAGATGGTCTTGGTTTTGTTTCACATGCGCTGTGTGTGAAACACTCCTTATACACATGCATGTTCAAGTTCATCAGCTCACCTGATTCACTCAGAATTCTCTGGTTCTAACACAACACATGAGAAAACCAAGCCTCGGAGACCCAAACTGATATGCTCATGAACATAAACATGTTGGATCTCCAAGCTGTTCCAAGTTCCTTCCATCAAGGAGATCTTGGCAATCCCCCCTGTGACACCATCCCTCCCCACCTGATTCTCAAGGAGAAAGGGGAAGACAATGAGGACAAACTTAGAGCTGGGGTGACTCTATGTCACTGACTCCTCAGCAGCTGAGAAAGTCCCCTGACTGTGGCAGACTGGCCATGCTTCCTTCCGAAGCACCCCAGCACTGTATTTGAGACCTATGAGCCCTGCCAAGGTTTAAAGACACCATTAAACGTCTTCTAATTTTTTAAAGATTTATTTATTTATTTGAGAGAGAGAGAGAACAGTGTGGGTGGGGGGGAGGATAGAGGCCTCAAGAGGGAGACAGAATTCTGAGCAGACTCCCCGCTGAGCATAGAGCACAACATGGGACTTGATCTCACAACCCTGAGATCATGACCTGAGCCAAAATGAAGAGTCAGATGCTTAATTGACTGAGCCACCCTGGCGCCCTTACTAATTTCTTAGGGAAACGCTCATCTAAATGTTTCCCTCCAGACAACAAATTCCAGATGAAAAGGGAAGCATGAACACGATCAGAAGGAGCTAGCTTACCCAAGCATGCTAACTGTCTGTACACTGGTAGCCCAAGGACCAGGCTTAGATTGTATACAATCCAACAGAAAGCGTACTACAGACTCACCAAGGAGTAAGCAGAGATGATCAAGTCTTTACAACATTCAGTGGTTAGTTGTGGACTTATAGGGCATTCCACTCGAGATTCTCACCAATATTCCTCTCTAAGCAATCCCTGGTATTTGGGAAGATGAAGTCACACTGAGGGAAACCCAATGGCTTGTAAGTTCATGTTTCATACAGGTCTAGGTCCAGTCACAGCCCTGTGAGGACTTGATTCCTACATTAAACACATCTGTTTAATAAAAATCCCATGTCTACATGCCATTCTCAGGTCACTATTTTAATGCTTCTGTATCTTTCGCACAACATGGGGCTTGATCTCACAACCCTGAGATCATATCTGAGCCAAAATGAAGAGTCGGATGCTTAATTGACTGAGCCACCCAGGTGCTGAGAACTGGGAACTGAGAGGCCAAAAAAAGTAAGAAAGCAAGTTAGAAAGTAAATTAGAAAATCACTTCTCATTTGAGTCTACAGCTTGATTAATTAGAAATTAGTGGTGCTTCCTTTAATATCGGGGGGCAGGAGACCCTCAACCATATGATGGCAGAGGGGTGAGTCCCTGAGAGGTTTCCGCATCAGGAAATGATAAAACTGAATTAGAAAGTCCCACCAGAACAGGACTACTGTCTTCCTAGATGCTGAATCACATCAACAGTGGACTAAGAAACAAATTCCTAATCTCAAATCTAACCTCATTGGGGGTCATCAAATGGCGTAAATAAATACAACAGACACATTCCTCATGAAACCTTCCCAGTCTCTCCTGGCTGGGGTAATGTGGCGTCAGTACTTCTCCGAGCCAATAGCAGGATTATCTGTGTGCACGTCTTCTCTCCCCATCTAGACTAGATCACTGAAGGCAGAGACTATGGCTTTTTATGTTATACTACCTTTTACAAAGTCTCAAAAAATACATGTTTTAAATAAATAATTGAAAAGAGCATTTTTCCTCCTATATTCTCCTCTAGAATCAACTGATTCATACATTTTCACCAGGTGTAAAAGCAATTTTCTTCCTTCCAAAATGGACAGGTATATATCTGTCTCTTCGTTTCTACACTCATTAATTACCTCCCTGTATTAAAGTATTACAACCTGCACCACAACCTTAAAAGAAAAATTTAACTGATAGATGATACATTTCTCTAAATTTTGCCTGTTTTCTGCTATATGTTTTTTGTTTTTGCTAAAAGCCCAATGCAGGGCTTGATCCCAGGACGCTGGGATCATGACCTGAGTGGAAGGCAGATGCTCAACCAACTGGGCCACCCAGGCACCCCAATTTAAATTATTTAAAGAAGTGTACTTTATTTATGACAGGTATATTTTTTAGTCCAGTTACCTCTTTAGAAGATATGTCCTCAAACTGTAGAACTTAGAAAAGTAGAGGATATTTAAGCTTTTGAAAATAAGTCACACTTAATGGCATTATTTTTAAATTTTCTACTCCAAAAACAAAAGACCCCCTCAATGAATATGCTGGCAAAGTACAGCCAGCTCCCTCAATGAAACAGTAGAAACTAGTGCTCCTTCCCTGAAGTCAAGTGAAAAGCAACTGTTACTACTTGACTATGTACATAAAGAATAAAAAAAAAAAATGAAGTAATGTACTAAAATATAGGGCATGGAGTTGGATTCAGAAATGAAATCTATGTTGATACTTCTGTGATTTTGTTTTAAATCATAAAAGGCAACAGATAAAAGCAATGTAAGATAGATGTATCTTAAAAATCCAGATACTGAATTTGTACCACAATGAAATTCATACTTGGATATTTTTATTAAGGCCAATTGTTTAAGATACTGTCTAGCAACTTGCAAATCATTTCCCATCGTAACTTTATTACTAGTTCATGACAGTTTGCATTTTTGTTTTAAAAGATTTGCTCATAAATATACTATATGTCAACCTTCGAGAAATGAACTAGTTGGCATGTATGATGTACACTAACTCTACAAAAGGCATTTCAATCCTGCCTCAACCAAAACCCTCTCAAATAACAAAAGCCTAATAGAAATGCTGGCTTACGATGGAAATCAGCGTGTATCCAGAGTTACTTATATTAAAATAATAACGTAGAAATTTTGCCTAGGAATAATATTGCAAAACAATAAGGGGTTAAAAATCACTGTATTATTGGAATGACTGACTTTGACTTATAAATCATGTTTCAGCAGGTTTAAGACTAAAAGAAATTGTTATTGTAACATATTTAAACACATCAGATGCCATCACAAAACAGCAGGGAACATGCAGATGAAATTCACAAATAGTGTAAACCTGGGCCATTACTGAGAAGCAATGAGCTTCAACTAGGAAAAGGGCCGAATGCAGGCAGGACACAATAAACCATCCTCCCTGTTAACCCAACTGTCAAGTATTCACATTTGGAGCATAATAATTAGCACCTCATAGTCTTTCAAACAAATGTTTTGGCTAACAATGTCTGCCTGAGATTCTATGATTTCAATACAAACGCAGTATCTAGTTTTAACCTATCACGCGTTTCGTAGGAGACGCTTCTGGCAACAGTCATTATCTCTGTTGTGAAGACAACCTTGATTTTGCACAGATTAGACACACGCTGATCAACAAACTTCAGAGAGAAATTCATGCCCTTTGGTCAAACAGGGTATAGGTCTGGCGACCCCCACTCCATGGGGGCACATGAGGGAGGCCATCTACTCACATGGCCTTGGTCATCCAGTTCATTGTTGGTGAGCTTCAGCTTGTCAAAGCTGATCACTTGTCTCATCCAAGTCTCTCCTGAGGCAGGCGAGTCTGGATGGATGTACACCCGTGGCGGCACAGGGGAGTCTGCGTTCCCCGCCACCATCCATTTAGAGCTGTGGTAAACATACCTACAAGGCAATGACAAGGCTCAGTGTACAGACTACTGTTTTCTGGTAATTTCCAAGTCCATTGAATCTGACAAACTGTGTATCTTTTATTTTTAAGTCTGAGAAACAACAATTTGCTCTTTACATCCAATACATATAAAATAAGATTTCAAGTACTCTTCAAAAACTCTCTGGGGCAGCAGTGGCCTTCTGACCTCTCAGAGTAAGTGATGTGTTAAGGATTTATGCACACTATCACCTCCATAAATTCAAGTACCTTAATTCTTATGATTCACTTATTCACATTAGACATTCCATCTGAATTCTGGTATTTTCCATTTTACATCTGGATATTCCATTGACAGGAAGAAACTATTGCTGTCGAGCTTAAAGTTGTCAAGCTCACCTTTAAGTAAATCTCAAAAATACTTGAGAGTTATACCTTTAAGTGTCCCACTTCTTTAAGACCACTTTCCATTTTAGGCAATGTACAAACGAATTAGGTAGATCAATGTACAAACGAATTAGGTAGATGATAGAAAGGCAAGGGGAAATTGTCAAAAGTTCCATAACTTTCATTTTATTAGAAAAAGAGTTTTAGCTATGATCATTTAGAATATTTTTGATTCTATTAAAATAAAAATTGGAGATAATACATTAAGTTTAACTTAAAATTTTTGTATAATCCAAAAATGTAGGTCTTTATCTCCTAAATTTCTCTTTCTCAACACTTATAAGAAAAGTCTTTAGTTTGCAAATATCACTAATCAAATATACGTCAAACTTTGAAAATGAAGGTATATCTGATTAATATTATTTTTCTAATTAAGGGACCAAACATCCTCTTCTGTTTGTTTATATGTGTCAAATATATTGACTCTACAAGAATAATACATTTAAATAACAGTGTTTCAGGTAATATCATAATATTTAATCGTGTATTCAGGTTATCATTTATTATTAACTTAAAATTCACTAATTCAAAAGCTAGAAACTAGTATATGATGATTCACTTAGAAAAGGGTATAAAATGAAGTTATATACCTAGGTGTTTTCCTTCCATTTGTATTTTAAGACATGACATACAATTTAAAGCAATAATTTGTAGATATTCTCATAAAATTCTACATGTGTAGTAGGCAAATTTCTTTTAAAAAACAGCATGAAACATTTTCATAACATCTCTGGTGAGGCCCTCTGTTTCAACTAATGTCACATATTTCACTCTCTTTTGAGCTCAATATCCCTTCTATTCTTTAATTCCTTTTCTTGGGAAAAAATACATAATCACAAAATTGAGAATAATTTTTTAAAAAGCTTCCCTGAATTGGTATGGCATAATTTCAGTAAATAAGTTCCTAAGTGCATGAGCTCCTGTGAATATTAATTTTGCCTCACAACAAATCACAAGCACTTTTAATTTGACCAAATACCACTCTTTGACAGCAGAGAATAAACCAAAAACTTATTTTTTACTACAGCTAAAAGTTAGAAAATAAAATGCAAATCTTAGAAATGCAAGGAAAAACTGTACTATAGTTATTCCCAAAATAAACAGAGTAATATGCTCTATCGAAACCTTGAGAAAGTATGCATACTCAACAGTTCAAAAATCCATACCCACCAAGAGAATAAATGCTACATGTTACAAATTCTCTGTGAAACTTTCTAAATACAATTGCTAAAACCAAATTTCTTGGAAAGCATTATAAGTGAAAACAAATTTATGATTTACAGTTTGCTTTTTTAAAATCTGACATCTTAATACCAATACTTGACATTTTTCTTGCATTATGTGAGAATAATAAGAACCAACTATGTAAAATAAACCATCCAAAATACATGAAAGATATTTGGAGAAACAGGAAAGAAATTTGGAAGAGAAAGGACTAATGTCTGAGCTCATTAAGAATTACATTATCTTTCGCAACACAAAACCCAGATTAGAATAAAGATTATAAACCAAGTATATTTCAAGATTAAACAGTGCCTTCTAGGTTCTGCCTTGTAATAGATAATTTTAGCAAACTCTCTAATGACTTATTTAATTAAAATAAGCAATACAATACAAAACACAAACAATAAAACTGTCTTTTTATTACCCATTTTTTTAGTATTCCATATGTTCCTGTACTAATTAAATCTGTATACTTTTGACACTGGTAAGCCTGTTTCAAACAAGGACCTCCCTAAGTTTTAAAAAGTGATAAAAATCAAATCTGACTTCATTTAAAAACTTACTAATTGCTCTAGCTGTTTATAAAAAGTAAAAAAAAAAAAAAAAGAAAGAAAGAAAAAATAGAAACAAGACCAAAATTTAAAGCAAGCACCTTCTGATCTTCTACTCAAAATTTCTTTTTAAATGTCAGCATTCTTAACTCCTCAGGAAAGTAAAAAAGCATTGTCCATTGAAAGTTGCTGATTTGCTTACTTGCAAAAGAAAAAGAGCAAAGGTTGGTTTGAAACTGAAGAATGTGTGTCTTTTCCAACTTTACTTGATATCCAGATAATACATCCTCTTTCAAAATCTAAATCTTACAATGTTCTTTTTTTTAATCTACTATTAACTACTAACCAAAAACCAACAGTAAATTAACAAATTCATTACCAGTTTAAAGATGTCCTAATAGCTTAATGAATTATGAGATTTTATCTTTCTAAATTCAAGAATTTCCTAAAATTAAAGGAAAAGAGCCTTCCAACAGTTACGATTTTTGAACACAACAAGAAAAAGGGAATTTATTTAAAGTTCAAAATAATCACAAAGAAAACGAAACATATCGTTGAATATTACCTATACCTACAAACTTAACATTTCCTCCAAAATTCTAATTGAAGAGTGAATCATTTTAAAAGACACAGTTTAGCAACCCTAAACTAGCCTCCATTTAAAGTTCTCAATACTTAAAGGACATTTCTGTATCCATTAGAAGCAAAACAATAATTAAGTTTCCACATTTAATGCAAGAGAAGGCACCGCGTGGGCTACTGGAACTGTCGGGGAGTTGGGTTATAGATCTAGAAATTCTACAGGCTTCTGGAAACAAACATCAGGGTTGTCACAGATGAAATAGGCACAGCCTGGAAAATCCTAGAGTATTCTTATCATGCTGTATCCATCGGATCACTGTACCTGTATCTTTTGTTGTCCACTGGCACAATGTCCATGGCAATGTAATACTGCTGGTGAGGATCTAGTCCTGAGATCTTCACTCTCATTGCTGGAAACATGCGCCTATGCACACGGAGGGGAGGAAAGAGGGTATGGGTTTTGTTTTTGTTTGTGATTAAGCAAGGAGAATGAATAAGCGAAGAAACCCCTGGAAACCTCTCGGTTTTTCATATGGACAAATTTATAGCATTCACTTTGATAACGTTAATTCAAAGAATCAGAACACAGGATGCATCAAAACTGAGGCTTTTAAATGTAATTTGCTGTACCCTGTCATGCACTGTGTTTACTGAAATGTCAGTACAGCTAAAAAGAATTTTACACTGAAGGAGTAATGGCATGAAAAAAAAGCAGATTGTTTTTTAAATAAAAATCAATGAGCATATTTACTTCAATAATACAAATGATAAAAATGTTCCAAAGTAGAAATAGAAAATCTGAATTTGTACAAGTGATAAAATATATTATAATGTGAAATTTTAAAAGGGTTATAAAAAACCACAAGGAGCCAATGTGCCATGCTATAACTAAACAATATGTTCTTTATTGAGACAGGACTTCCTGTCTGCAGCATGGTAAAGGTGAAGTGCAAAAGTTGCTCTAAATTTGAAAGGTATAGTAAAACTTCTTTATTGAAAGCAGAACTAAACACAATGTATATTTACCAAATCATTCCTCCCCCCACTATACCCTGGAAATACTTTCCTATTTAACCACACTTACTCAAAACTTTGCTAATTAAAACAAATAAAAATCTGCATTTCTTTAGGCTTCCCAGAGTTGCGTATCAAAGGAGATGCTAAAGTACACGGGCTATCTTTTAAAAAGGATGCAGTAGCAAGAATCTAACAGCAAATTATTGTATATGAAAAACAAATAGAGCAGTTCTTTTTTTTTTTAATTTCCATCTAATGATTTATGTCTAGGACCCTTCCAGTTAATTTAATTTTTGCTAATTTAACCTTATAACACAAATTTTAGCACTGTTATTTATCAAAAATTTTTTCTATAACAATAATGCCACTAAAAACCACTTCCAGAGAAAAGAAAGTCCATTATTCCTAAGTAGGCATGAGAACAGTTTAATATGCTGGCTGTTTTAGTGTTATTTCAGTGCACCTGTAAGATAAAGAGTAAAGGTCTTTAACTACATCCTTTATAAGACAACTGTTGCTTTGTGTTGTTGAAGACTGAATTTGGATCATTAATAAAAGCTCTGTGAAAACGTAGAAGGTAGCATATGGATTCAATAAAATATGTTTTTGTAATTTCTAATAAGTTTGGATACTTTTATGCTATCCAGGTTTTTGCCATGTGTACTCCCTGAAAGAGTTGCTGTGCTTTTTAAAGTTCCTTTTAAGGAAGATTATTATTCATAGATTTCACTGCACTAAACGAACTGAAAACTTTAAAATGCAAATATTTCTGTGCTTCCTTCAGATTAATAGTATCTGGCCAACAAATCTATTTTTTACTAACTAATGAATGTGCAAATTTCACAATTTCAAAAAATACATATAACTTCCTACAATTTTTCTTAGTATTCTTCAGCAAATTGAGACGAATGTGTTGGATTTCATTTAGAAAAATATATATATATAACCACGTAACCGGATCTACAAACGGAATGGTTTTTTAAAAAACGGGTAATTATTTTTGCAGGGATTATAATGTATTACTGATGATTCCAGTAACTTTTCATTCCAGTATAATATCAAAATAGCACAAGACATCACGTTCTTACATTGCTAGGAAATCTTTTGATAAAGAACCAGCCTGGAAGTCTGGAATCTAAAAAAAAAACAAACCATAGTTTTCTAGAGAGTAAACTGAGGTTTCTTTTTTTTTTTTTAAGGGGTGGGGAAGGTTAAGGGAAGTCATCTGTTCAGTAGTTCCAGAAAAGATAACTAGAGCCTAAACACATGCCTGGACGGACGTATACATAACCAGGAATCTGAGACTACACAGCACACGGAGTATCAGCTGCAGCCTCTGGCGCAGCCGCATCTGCGGCCACGCGGATTTTCCCCTAAAGTCCAAGACCGCCGCGGGGCTGTGCCCCTCGCCGACATCACTCTGCTGTAGGCGGGCAACGCCAGTCTCAAAAGTGAACCACAACCCGGGCCTTGTCTTTTCTGTCCAAAAATGCTAACCAGAGACTCCACAGCTCTGCAGACCCTTCTCCTTCCTAACCCATGGTGGGGGGGGTGCGGGGGGAGGTAAGGTGAGACCAGGGCCCGGGCGTTGGCGACAGATCACCCTTTACCTGCCCGCCTTGGTGATGATCATCTCCGTGCCGATCTCGTGAAAGCGCTTCCAGAGCTCTGCTCCCTGCAGATCCACCCGCGGGGCCTGCGGCGAGGGCAGCGGGGTCCCCGGCCGTGCCAGGGGGGGCGCTGGGGACCCCTTCGGGGATCCTCCCGGGGACGCCAACGGAGAAGCGCCCTGCAGGAACCCGTCCTCACAGCCGCCTGGGCAGCAAAGGCAAAGAGGGGTAACGGTGAGGGCTCGTGGGGAGACTGACCCCCGAGGGCTGCTGGGGAGACGAAGAAGGACCAGGAGAAAAGGGGGAACTTTCGTGCCTTGGATTCTTCTAACAAACAGGCCCGGGGTAAACACCCGCTCTGCCAGCCGAAGGGACTCGACGTGCCAGCGAGGCCTCCAAGGACCGTGAACCGCGGAGGCATGAGGGCCGCGTCCACCCCTCCCTCCGGGCCTCTGCCGGGTCAAGGCCCCAAATAAGTTCGCGCCGCCGCCGGGGTCTTGGATACATGGCCAACTGAGGCTGAGATGGATTCCCGAGTCCAGCGCCCCACTGCAGACCCCGACACACCGGCCACCCGAAACGCACGCAGAGAAACCGCCTGGCGTCCGGCTCCCTGGTGCGAAGTGCCTGGGCCTCCTTTCCCGTTAGGCGTCCGAGGCCCCTCGCCTTGGGCCCGGGAGGAGGCATCCTCTAGAAAACTCTTAAGCCTCCGCTCGCGCCAAACTCCCCGACCGCCCTTAGCACCCTAGCCAAGCAACGAAGGGGCGAGCAGAGCGCGAAAAGCAAGCCCACCGGGGCCGACGGCCTCGGCAGAGGGAATCTAGAGGGGAAGGGAAGGGCTCAGCTACCCCTCGGGAAACCACGTTTGCAAATACGCCTCCCTCTTCCTGGTTTGCCCAAACTGTTTAGGGCATTCGTTCCGGTTTCGGGGGGGTTATGCAGTCGCTCCCCCCACCCCCTTGCTTTTAAAAGTTAGGAAAGAAAAAAGAGCACCCATTGGCTGGAACCCCAAGGGAGGCAGATGCGGAAGGCACAGACCTGCCCCGCCGAAAGCCTCAAAGAGCCGCGGCCGAAGGCGCGGGTCGCCGAGTGGGCGGCGGCAGCCTGAGAAGCCGGGCTGGGAGCTGCATTTTAAACGTCGGGAGGGCGACCTGAGTTGAGCGGCGATAGCGGCCAGGTCTGCTGTGAACTTCGCGCGCGGACACCCAAGGCCAAAGCGCTGGTGGTGCACTGCCTCAGGCACCGAGGGGCACCGCGCGCGCGCGCGCCCTAAACTCGCAGGAGTTCAGGTTCTCCGCGGCCGTGCGGCCGGGCGGGACCGGGAGGGACGCGCCAGGAAGAAGTTAGGCGGGAAAGGGCCGACTCACCCGCGGCTCCGCGGGAGCCGCAGCTCCGTTCCAGGTCGGCGCAGCTCCGGGCTGGCCCCGATGCCGCCCCGGCCGGTGGCGGGAGTGCAGCGCCTTCGTCTCCCTCGGAGGAGCCCTTTTCCCCGGCGCCACCGCCGCGGCTGCAGCCTCCGTCATCTACCGCCACGGCCGCCTCTTCCGCGCCCAGCTTTCGTCGCTTCTTCTGAAGCTGTTGCTGCTTCTCCGCGCCGATCAGCGCCTCCACGGAGAAGGCGTGCGCTTTAAGGCTTAGCATGCTGCACGGCGAGCCCCTCCGCTTCTCGGCCATCCCCGCCGCCTGGCGCCCGCCCGCCCCTCACGCATATACACTCAAGCGGGCACACGTACACACTCGCTCTACTCTCCCACCAAAATCTGAACGACTCTCGGGGCCTCCCGCAGGCCGATCTGCCCCCTTCCCTGCCGCGGGCAAAAACAAATTTGGCGTTTCCTCTTTCTCGCTTGTGTTGGGATCCGAGGAACCAGCGACGCGCCCGCCAAGTTTCCTTCCCTCGGTCTCTCGCGCGCGCTCTCTCACTGATGCACTCCTTCGTTCCCACCCCCTCCACCTCCTCCTGCTGCTCCAAGATCTGCTTCGACTGATGCGCCAGAGAGGACTAACATGGGTAAAAAACACTCTGCGGACACAAATTAGGGATTGTAATTGAAATTTGTTGCCTTGATCTGTCAGCACTTCCAGGCAGGAGAGCGGTGGGAAGAACTTGCTCATTAGTGTCAATAAAGTGGCGAGGGTGGAGTCTGGGGCCCTGTCAATCACCGGGAAGTCCAGCCAATCAGGCGGCGCCGACAGCGCACAGTCCGCGCCCACTTCCTTACAAGGTCTCAAAAAAAAAAAAAAAAAAAAGAGAGAGAGAGAGAGGGAGAGAGAAAAGCGCCGCCGTCTGGCTTGGAAGTGCCAGCCCCGGGCGCTGAACCCGGTCAGTCTCTCTGGCTGCCACATCCCACTCCAGCCCGAGTCTCTAGTTTTCCTCACCCATTCCTAGGAAGGGTGAGGCTCCTCCTGGCTTTAAAGCGAGATATCACCAAGTTAGAATATCAAGAATCTTCCAAGAAACTTTAAACTCCAGTCCCACTCCTTTATCACTTAATATTGCTACAACTCAGAACATTTTTGAGTGGGGACAATTGACAGCCACCAGGCCCGTCTTTTCTCATTTAAACATTCCCGCATTTAGTAGCGCCCACTCTGCCAAGAATGGCATTAGACTTGTTTATTTATTTATGTTTCTGTTTTACTTAGTGGCTTTTTCTTGGGAAGCGTATGGGAATTCACGGTATATTTAAATCCTTTATATTTAAGAGAGCAAAATTTTATATTATCGCTTAGTCCCTCATATTTACTAGTCTGTAAAAGCACACCCTTTTCAGAGCCTTCCTTTCCTTTCAAAGCATGATGATAATTTTAAACCGTTAAATCGTGGGATGTTACTTCTATATGTCTTCAACGATAAAGATTTAGCTTTAAATCTCCTAAAAACTTCGCAAGGTGAAATGTTTTAAGATACAATAAAATTTCTATTGCACTTTTTTTTTTTAAATGTCTCGGTGATTTAACCTAACTCCATATTTGTCCTCCTTTAAACAATTTGCCACTACTTTTCTCAGGATTTTAAAGAGCCAACTTGTTTCTTTAAAGCAAAATTTAAAAAAAAAAGTTTTAATTGAATAACATCAATCATGCATCCATACAGTTTATAGTTTCAACTCGATTTTTTGGGGGGGGTCAGGATTAACCCCCAAAATGGTTTTGGTGTAAATAGAACAAATATAGTGCAGAAGAAAATTCCTGATACATATTATTCTTAGATTTTTGGTATAAAAGACAGGACAAGCGTTGTCTTTTTTCGCGCTCAATTCAACCTCCACAACTTGTTACCTCTGACTTCTCGCTAAGCTTTCAATGGGATGATAAGGAATAGCCTCGCCACTGTGATCTTTTTACCGTAGCTCGGGCGGAACGCCGGGTTCCTCCAAGGTAACGAGAAGAGCCGGGAGCAGAGCAGGAGGTGCCTAGGCGTATCCATGATCTAGCCTCCCGACTCGGCCCCAGCAGCCTGAGTCAAAAACGCCTAGGTAACACCCTCGAGGAAGAGGGCTCTTTTAAACTCTTGAGAAACAGATTCGACTGGAAGGATTTGTTTTGCATTTGTAAAAGAAGGCTTGCAAACAGTCTGGAGCGGGGCAGACCCCGGAGGGCGCCCCAGGCGGGTAATACAGCCTAAAATGTAAGCGCAAACCTGATTTCTGTAGGCTAGCGGAAGGGGAAGCAAGCTTGGGAGAGCAAAGAAGCCACCTGGAGGGCTTGGGCTGGGAGTGGAGTGGATGGATTGGGGCGAGGGGGTCGGTTGCAAACTTCGCTGGAGGCTGCAGCTAGAGCTCCGCGCGCTGGGCGTATGAAACCCGCACCAGCAGCCTGCAAGGTCCCAGCGCCCGGCTGCAGGCCCAGACGCGAAGGAGCGAAGCAAAGCGCCTTGGGATAGCCCTTGAGACCTTGGAGAAAGCTGCGAAGCCAATGGGTGGAGTCACCAGGACCACAGGCCTGTACCGGTCCCGCCGCCCAAGAAGGAGCGGCTCATCCCTAGAAACCTGAGGCCGGCCGCCTGGGACGAACGCATTTTCCAGACGTGAAGCTTGCCTTGTAGGTGGGTTCTTGTCCATTTATATGCTCTGCAGTTCAATCTGATATAGAAGGGACTAGACGGCCTGCAACGGCGCCCTCAGGATCGTGCAGCTCAAAGGTCTCCTCTGTCCCTCTGTCACTTCTTTCACCTTTACCCAGGGTAGAAGGGACCGCAGACCCCGGAGCTCACAGACACCGGAGTACTTATGTCCACATAGACTACAGGCTGGAAAACTGAGCCTCGCAGACACCCAGGATGTCAGATAGAACGTGACTCTTACGAATAATCCAGGTGTGTGCTAGGTGTCCAGGGCAGAAGGAAGCGTTGGTCCGTTTAGTACAGGTCCAGACTAGGCTTTGGGAACCCTAGCGATAGAGCCGCACGGCCGCTCGCCGCCCCGGATTCGCGCTGAATCTGTCCAGGCTTCCGGACCTAATGAGACCAGCTGCACCCGACCCCGCAAAGCAGCTAGTCGAAGACCTCACCGCACTAGGACCCTTGCTCCAGGACAGGGGGCGCCCCACCCCTCCCAGAAGCCGGAGGGAAGGGAGGCCAGAGTCCGCAGGCAGGAGGATTCTTGACCTTCGGTGTGAAGGCGAAGCCAACGCCCTTAGAAGGCGTTTTCTCAAAAGCGTGGCTTGCGCGTGTCAGGGCCATTCCAGGGCCTTGCACTTTGCTTGTCGACAGAGCAAAAGAAACGGGACAGGACGCGAATTGGCAGAAGAAAAGCTCGGTGGAATACATGTGCGCGTGTGCACATGTCTGTGCTTGTGTGCACGTGAGTACCCCCGTGCGCACTTGTCTGTGTGTGCACTTCTCAGTATGGGCCTGTGTGCGCGGATGCGCGTGTGTGCACCTGCGCACGTGTAAACGTGGAGGGGTGCCTAGGTACAGACAGCATGTGCCTCCTGTCACTTTATGAGAGAAAAATGTCTTTTCCCAGGTTGTGCTACATTAAGGAAATGGTTAAAACTAAATTAAGCTGTCAGCCCTCTGGCAAGACTAGCCAGGCTCTATTTCAAATAAAAGCCACCCAGGGAAGAACGTTATCAGAGTAGGTCTGTCTCAGAGACTTGGCGAGAAGGGAAAGGGCATACAAGCCTTGCATATCCAGGTCTGGGAGAATGGTACCTAGTGGGCTGTATCCAAACAGATAGCAAAGTTAACTCTGGGGTAAGGGGTGGCGGGGATGGAGGATTAAAAGGTATGTCTGGTTCCTCCTGTTTCTTTCTTTTCTCTTTTTTCTTTCTTTCGCAGTTTAAAATTGGATTGTTAGAAAGATTCTTTTTTGAAGCTCATTCTTTCTGTAGACTCTATTATCTATGTTTAGATACAGCTTACCGTTTCTTATCTAGGTTACTATTATTTATATTATTGTATTTTGTTTTCTATTTTCTATTTTTTTGTTTTGTTTATAAGCAATTGCTTATTTTTAATTCCAGATTTTAAAGTCCTATGTGCCAGGATTTCATTCTCTAAATAGACTAATTTTTCTTTTTTGTTTTTCTTTTTTCTTTTGCACTTGACAATCGCTGTAAATTTCCAAATTCGTGTTTGATTTCCCAGACTAACAATCGACACAGGGAGGTTTACCCTGGCATACAGGAGGGTCTGTGTTTTGCTCCCTGAACTCGAGATGCACCATGTAGTCTCTGAATTTCCAAACAGGCAAGATCTGGACTTCCTTCCCACGCATAGAAAGACATTTTATTATTCGCTAAAATACTAGCCTAGCAAGAAATAGAGTAATACATAGGAGAGTCGGGGTGACAGAAGGCCCAAATCAAGCCCCAAGAGGGATACTTATTTGGCTGTGTTACTTTGTAACTTGATCTGGGAAGGAGCCATATCCTAATTGGGGGCCGGGGATGCCAGAAGCCGCCCCGAGTCACAGGACCGCACCACACACGTGGGCTAGGGCTCGCTGTCTCCTCCCATTCCCTTCCTTCTTGTACATACTCTTCTTCGTGCCTCTCCCTCTGATTTGGGTTAATAAAAATAACAAATTATAATCTGCAAGATTCCAAAGTCTACAGGAGTAAATGCAGGCAGCCGGGGTCTGTCTGGCTGCGCTCTCACGGGCTTCTCTGCGGAGTCGCGGGCTCCAACTGCAAACCCAGGCCCCGCGGAGAAAGCGATACAGAACCGCAATACCTCACTGCAGCTTCTGTCGCAAATAGCACACACAGACAGCACCTTCGCACGGGTTGGAGCCTGTTTACCATCCTCTCTTCAACAACCAGTCTGTTCCATAATTCTGATCATCTGAGACTTGAGTCCGTCTACAAAAGAACTCCACCAGCCTATGGAAGAGCCCTTCAGGGCTCCAGGAAACCCAGAGAGATTCTCCTGTAGTGTTGGTTTTCAAATCAAAGCTCATTTCTCATGAGTCTTAGAGGAGGTGCAAGTTTTGGTAAAGCCAAGGGAAAGTGTGCTCTGAGGTTAATCTTGTCTTTATTTCCCCTTCCACCAACCTCCAAGTTCTCCAGCTTGGAGAAGGGAAAGGAAGGAAGAGAAGAGAAGGGGCCTCTGACCTACCAAAACCAGGGTTGAGAGGTGCCCAGAACAAAACTCACTGCACTGGGCTCATGAGCTTCCCCATTCATGTCCTATTTTCAGCAGCATCTGCTCTGCCTCCAGAATATAC